CCTGAAAGGAGGTTGTAGCGAGGTGGGTGTTGGTCTCTTCTCCCAAGGAACTAGCAATAGGACGAGAGGAAATGGCCTCAAGTTGCGCCAGGGGAGGTTTAGATTGGACATGAGGAAAAATGTCTTTACTGAAAGAGTGGTTAAACATTGGAACAGGCTGCCCAGGGAAGTGGTGGAGTCCCCATCCCTGGAGGTATTTAAAAGACGAGTAGATGAGGCGCTTAGGGACATGGTTTAGTGGGCATGGTGGTGTTGGGTTGACGGTTGGACTCGATGATCTTAGAGGTCTTTTCCAACCTTAATGATTCTATGATTCTATGAAAATCACAGAATCACATATAAGGTTGTGAATTAGTTTACCCCGTTCTCTTGCCTCTTATCTTAGCCAAATTGATTTACGTCAAAATTGTGACTATGTAAATGCCTACGAGCTATACTAACTACTTTAGACCCTTAATGAGTTATGATACAGGTGATCTAAGTATTTTGCACAAATTTTCAGACTTCACCAATCTTGGAACTAAGAGGTATCCCACCTCTGAAACTTAATCCACTGTTAGTTGTTACTACAAATCGCATTTAATCATTATTTTGTTTTCTCTTCTTCACTTTAGGAAGTCAGCCTGAAGGAACAGAACACCAAGTGGGAAATAAAATTAAGTAATTTTTAATTTCCTCTGTTACAGAGCAGTAGACAAGAACTGTCTATATACAAGAAGTGTTCTCCTTTCACAAGATCTTTAGTCTTTCCGTTCAACCCAGAGAATTTTGTTAATTACAGAAATATTTCACTTGACCCTTTGTTCCGTAAGTTTAAAACTTCTTTTTTTTTTTAATATAAACACTACCTTAAACAAAGTTTGGCAGTTCCCACACACTGTAAGGCATCCAATTTTCAATTGCAATTAAAACAAAACTAAAAAGGAAAGTTGAATATGAAATTGTGACAAATCACACAGCAGTCCTTGTGCTTCTTAATACACTGAAGACAATTTTTGGCTCATAAAACTGTCATAAAGAATTTAGATTAATGCTCATCCAGAAATTGCAAACAAACTGCAGGCCTGAAGGTGAATAACCCTTACAGATTACTTTCTAATGGACCAGTTCTCTACGAGTACACCAAAGAGCTACTTTTCAGAAAAAGATATGCCTTAACTTTTCTGACAAATCAATGCACATAAACACTTTGTGGAGTGTAGTCCCCAAGTTAAAACAGGTTGTAATCAATACTCCAAGCTAATCCAATGGAAGCATCATTTCATGTCTCTAATCTAACTACCATCAGATAAAACATGGCACATTGTACTCACTAGCCAAAAAATGTATTAATATTATTGCTCTCCTTGAAAGATATGTGACTTTTGCCTCCTAACATAACATTATATGTATCCTTATATCTTAGAAGTGACCATCAGTTCTAGAATAAAACAGCTAAAATTTTTTACCTTTAAATGTGTTCAGAAAGTCACAGACAAAAACCAAAGAATTGGTAAAAAAAAAAATGTAGTTAATATGTTCCAAATTAACACTTTCAATAAATACCTATTCTGTTGGGTGCAATGCTGAAGTTTTAAAAAATTATTGTATTTTAAATTGTTGGGCTAGGATATGTCTGCCCTAGTATATATCTTTACTTTTGGATACTTTATTCAGAGACAGAAATAATAGGCAGTGAATCTAGAAAAGAGAAGCACCATTGCTTGGTACCATTATCCTCACAGACCTCCTGCAGACTGTCTGCCACAGCCATCTGAACATTAACTTTCAAAGGTTTTTCTGCGAAGTGTAACTTTGAATGGAAAAAACAGTCAGAACTTTCTATTCCTTTTTATGGTTTTTGTAAATACTGCCAAAATAAGAGCAAAATAAAGAACTTTAAATTTAAGTAGATAGAAAACCCTCCTGTGCAACAGTTGAGGCACTAAAATGGTTTTCTGCCTCCTCCATGATGCATACTACATATGTATATGTAGTTTTTACAAGAAACTGATTGATTCAATTCTGCTTTAAATAAACCATTTATTTTTCCCAGTATGACCCTTTCCAAAGGTCATACTCCTCTTAGCCATGTTTGAATTCACTGACTGAAAACTACATGATATTATCAAGCAAGAAGACTTAGAACTCTTTTGTTACATGACTGTTTGAAGAAATGCTCACCCACTGCTCATGTCCATCGGTGGCCAAGCTTGAAGGAGTAAAACCAAGTGCTGAAACTCAGACAGACTGTGACTAGACTCCAGAAGTCCCAGGAAAAGATCATACCTTTTTTCTTCATTTTCAACATCTGTTATCTCTACCTGAAATAAAAAGCAAACAAACAAAAACAGAAAAAAACCAACAGGTTTTTTTTTTAAGAAATCAATGATTTAAAAGCAATCAACAAACTATCTGTGAAAGATATCACTGTTGTAAAACAACACGGGAACACAGTGAACGTAGTTTTCCCAGCAATCCATTTTCTTACCTCCCATTTTCAGTTACATGCAAATAAAACAGAACACACAGGCACTGGGGAATGACTTAGGTGTATGTTCCTAAAACAATGTAACCCCACACAAGTACATTCATTGATTAGTACAGAGGATCTTATCTTTGTGTTCTTCAAACAACCAAAAATCGCTTAAATTTCCTTTTCTCGATACATAGACATATATATACACACACATATATATGTATTTTTAAAGAATGGGAATGTCTAGTGCTTCCCTAATATATATTACTCTCACTCACCTATGAAAATTCAGTAGTTTTATCTGAACTTACAGCATCTAATCTTTTCTCCTGCAGGAAAAGGCCGTAAAAGATGATTCTAAATTAATTTACCTAGCGAAGAACTTTTGGTGACAAGTACTGTAATATTTCTTTGTATAGGTGTTTGAACCTAAGAAAAACAAGAACCCACACCCCATCAGCCAGCCACCAGACAACACTATCTCAGGAAAAGTGTCCGTCTAAGTTTAAAACCTGCAGCTTCCGGCAGGACTTGAATTCACTTCAGTTGATGATAGGTTCTTTTACAGATAATTACTGCTTGCAGTTTGCATGGTAAAAAAGTACAAGGTAAAAGGTCTGACTGTTGAAGGAAGGTTGCTATAAATGAGAACCAACTTGCTACTAAATGAGAAGCAGCTTCTGTTTAAGAGTTTGGCTATCACACTAGGAGGGCTTTCACAAATGGAATAGCTATTCGCTGTCTACCTGACATACAAAAGTTCTTGGAGTTTAAAAATAATTTGTTACAATAACAAGGTAGCTTCCTCTGCATTAGTAACACTTTCTGACACTGAATTTTTCTTCCAAAGTTTGAAATGTTCCAGAATATCAAAACACTTCAGTTTCATCTTATAATTCTGCTGAAGAAACACAGCATTTACTGTTAACTTTTCTGTTTCAGCCCGAGCAGTTCTAAGACATCAAACATGGACAAAGTTTTCCTTAGTTCTACAGCTACTCTAAAAGATTAGAGATCGCATTCCCATCTTTTCAAAGCAACTCTGATACATCAAGGGCAAATTTTTCAAAAGAGGTTGGAAAACAAAGATTACTGACACATTTATTGAGTTGCCTACATAATTTGTGACTTTAAAATATTTAGTGCAGAAAAACTGATCGCTTTTGTCTCCAGGGTACATCTGAAAGCACCATATACTAAAACATTTTAGATAGTGAAGAAATGTTTCTGAGATCCATCTATTTAAAATACTTCTCTGTACTGCAAATGTCACATAGCAGACATCAGTTACCCACCTGTAATTTCCCTAAATTCCATCTATATCTGCTAATAAAAATATTATCATGTTCAATATTTAAATCACAAGGCTGAAAGAGAACGGAGAAGAACAGGGAAGGGTAAAAGGGACATAAGACATGCTAACCTCTAAGGATCAAAAATATTTAGCAATTCAGCAAATTATGTACTATCTAGACAACAGAAGCTCTCACATTGCTTCATCTGTCCCCAAACTCCTTTTTCAGACAACTAGCTCTTTAAATATTTAAACCAAGTAAGTAGCATTCTGGATGATCCACTGAGTACATTTTAATATATTTGCACAAACAGCATGTTACTTCAAAACACGAAGTGTTCAGTTCTCTCTAATGATAACCGTAAAAATGGAAAGAAATAGCACAGACAATAGATGAGAAAAGCTCTCACAGAAATTGAGCCGTTAGTAGCAGAGAGTAGATGAGAGGATCAGACATCTTATTCAATATGAACTGAATTCCAATAATTCTACCTAGTAATGCATCTTTACAGACTCGGGTTTACATATTTTTATGAGATTAATTAATCTAACATTATAATGTTGTGTTTTGGACAGCTGGATCCTTGCAACATGATTGCTCATAACAAAACACATATTAATACGATCAAAGTAAGTCAAAAGAATTACCTTTCTTTTCTCCAAGAGGGGGGTTGGACCAGGTGACCTTTAAAGGTCCCTTCCAACCCAAACTATTCTATGATTCTATGATTCTAAGATGTGCATTTCTGCAATATTTCTTTCTACAATGGCCTTTTTCAAGGTGCCTACATTTCCCACTAAGAGTAATAAAAATAAAGTGAACTTTCTACCGTGTTAGTTATTTATAGTTTTTAAGAAAACTATTGAAAAATTCACTTTTTATATGGCATTTTAAATGCATGTCACTTCCATTTACTGTGAAACAGGTGAGAGTAGAAAGTAGCAACACAGTGTATAAGTATAGAATCACAGAATAGTTTGGGTTGGAAGGGACCTCTAAAGGTCATCTAGTCCAACCCCCCGCAATGAGCA